CCCCCCCCCCCCCCCCCAAAAAAAAAAACACAATGTTACTATTGCTAGTATATGCCTCTTTCTCTCTCTCATCAAAACACCAAAACACCCCAGGAAGTATCAAAAAAGATAGCCTCCCAAAAGAGACCAGCTCTTGGAGAGAAACAAAAAAAAAGAAGAAGCCGCCCCCCCCCCCTTCTATCAAGTCATAAGCCATATACACACACACAAAACTCTTGTACAAACCACATATAGTAGACACACAAACCACACATATACCTCACCCAAAAGGCTCTTCGTTCGAGCAAAAACTTTTTCAGCTGTCGACGGCCATACCAGCATTACCGCATTCAGGCCCCCACATATCTCCGACTCTGAAGCCTAGGGGAAACGGATCCTCCTCATCCACGACGACCTGTCTGTAACCCGAGATCCAGGCGCGGCCCCTGACGCGGGGTAAGATAGCGTCGTAGCGGCCAACCTTTGTGGTACCGACGATGCTGCACTGGAACTTAGTGCCGATGATACTCTTGTGGGTAAAAGTTTCGCCCACGGCCAATTGACCGCGTGCATGCAAGACGGCCATGCGCGCCGAGGTACCGGTGCCGCAAGGGCTGCGATCGAGGCGGCCAGGCGACACGACGACCGTGTTTGTGGCGGTCTTGACTTTGGCGGGGAGCTCGTCGGGCGAGGGTGATGATGATGATGATGAAACAAGCTCGACATGGACAGGCTCTGTAAACTGCATCGTTGATACGCCGCGGATCCCGTTGTTGAGCGGATGCACCGGCTCGTAAATGTCTTGCACGCTCTTGCGGATGGCCTCGCCAATGCGAATTAGATCCGCCCCGTGCTGGTGCGAGATGCTCAGGCCGACGGCGTCGGCGGATACAATGGCGTAGTGCATGCCGCCCCAGGCTACGTCGACGGAGATTTCGCCTATGCCGGGTACGTAGACGGGCACGTCGAGTTCGTAGACAAATGAAGGGACGTTATCGAATTCCACGCTGAGGCACTTGCCGCCGGCGCAGCGGGCGCGGACGCGCACAAGCCCCGCTGCTGTGTCGAGTACGACTTTGGTCTCTGGCTCCTTCATAGCGATACGGCCAGTCTCGAGTAGTACCGTCGTGACGCAGATTGTGTTGCTGCCGCTCATGGTTGCGTATTCATCGCTCTCGAGGGTGAGGAAGCCTGCGTCGGCTTCTGGGTGGCACGGTGTGAGCAGCAGGTTCATACATTGCGAGACGCGCCCTCGCGGCTCTTGCATGAGTAGTTGTCGATAATGGTCGGCTTTCGACTCAAAGTGCACCAGCTTTTCGTACATGGTGTTGCAGTGCATTGGGTCTGGTATTCCGCTGATAATAACGTCGCCGATTTCGCCCTCGGCGTGCACGCACACTATCGAAATAGGGAGGTCGGGTGTGGTCAACATCGTGGGTGGTAGGGCGTATGTGTGTGTATCTGTATGTGTGTGTATCTGTATGTGTGTGTGGCGACTATGTGGAATATGGTGGTTATGTATTTAAATAGGTATGTGGTGTTGGTGGATGATCAGCCTTATATGTAATTGTGGAAAGTAGAGCGCCAAATGAGGCAATTTAAGAGCGGTCAAGACACTATAGGCCACGAGACTTGCCGATGAGGTGAGATTCTAACTTTTTTCCAGAATGTTGCATTCCGACGATCATCCAAATCCGGATTCCGAAACTACTCGGTGTGACTTAATCCTATCCCAATCAGTCCCTGCCACATCATTCAAGGGGAAACTACTATGCGGTGTGTTTATACTATTAGGAAAGTTGCGCATCGGCCAAGATCAGCAGACGCGTATCTTTCCTCCAATCCTCAAGGCGGGCCGGAGTAGGGCCATTTCCCACGTTGCCTGAAAAAATGGTCCGAGCCGGTTTCAGGTCATCGTCGTCCAGTCAAAAGTGTGTTCGAGTCGTGGGCGGTCAATTAGGTGCTAATCTCATTACAATTATTTGGTCTTGACAAGACAATCTTTGCCGATTCCCCGCCATATTACAAGTCAATCCCGCTACCCCGAGCGAGACCGTTATACCCAAAATTTCCGATGTAACAGCGAGGGCGAAGAATGTTAATGTACAAGCGAAAAAAATGCCCCCAGTGCATCGCCGATGACGTAGTGGCCTGAATCGCCTACTAGACCTTGGCACCCCCCATAATCTCATTCGTAACGACATTTCTAAATTCTTGGCCAACGTGTCAATTGTCTTCTCTCCATCTTTGCGGCTAGCGAACTTTTTTGGGCTCGTCGGATGAATACGTGCGGTCGTCGCTGCCACCCTCGACTTCCAGGACCATCTTGTCGACAGCTTCGGCCTGCTTCTTCCACTCGCTCTGGCACATTTTAAGTTCTTTTTGGAAGAGCTCGTCGTTGGGCTTCCTGTAGCTTCCACCCAGACGATCCCAGAGAGTGGTAAACTGTCCGTAGTTGTAGTTGAAGTACAGGTGGTGCATGGTGTGACAGGCAGCTCCATTGATAATGGCCGAGTTGTGCGCATACTCGCCGTCATGAATCAAGACAGTCCAGATGTTGACAGTAACAAATAGGAGGACATAGGCAAACTTGGACAGCGGGAACAGGAATGGGAAGATGTGGTAGGGCAGACCCTGGGCATAGCCGTCCAATGGGTGGAAAGCGTGCGAGGCATAGGGAGTTGGCATGATCCACTTGTGGTGTGGCTTGTGGATGTGCTTGTAAATGAGAGGGTGGTGGAGATAGCGGTGAATCCAGTAGATAAGCGAGTCGGTGAAGAAGAGGAAAAATGGAAATTGCAAGTAGTTGTACCACAATCCCGGACCCTGGTCGACCGTATCGTATAGCTTCGAGTACCCACGGACCTCTGCAAGGAAAAAGGGCACGGTGAAGATTGCCATGATGGGAAAGGCAATGTTGGCCTGTTTCATCTCAAGCTTAATCTGGTTCTTAAGGTATCGCGGGTGGTTGAAGGTGCTCTTGTCGAAGATGAAGAAGTAGGAGGCGCTTGCGAAAATGTAGTAGACTAGGACACCGAAGAGCCTGTAAGATTGGAGTGTGAGCAAGGGTATGTACATGTTGATACTGGGATACATGGGTGAGATAGAGAGAGAAAAAAACATACCATGTAATTAGGTACAAGGACAGCGCCTGCCGCCGCCAGTCGTCGCGGGCCCATTGACTCATGTAGGCATACTTGGATGGCGTCGTGGAGAAGAACTGGGTGGCGGGCTCATACTGCCAAGTCGCGTGCGGGCGGGCGTAGGCAGTAGGCTCCTCACGGATGCTGGAGAGAGTTGCATTGGCGATTACGGCAGCTGGATAGGCAGGTAGAAGTTTGGCATAGAGGGGGTCGAAGATGAAGGTGTCTGCCACCTCGAGGACAACGTCCATGGCTGATGTAGGTGTGACGTGGGCAGTCCCTTAGTGGGAGGATAGTCAGGTACCGGAGAAGTGCGATTCGCCGTTGGGTCTAATGGAAGCGGGCTGCGCACGACGAAAAACAAGGGATCAAAGTTGGTTGAAAGCAGGTCAGATATCGGGATGACAAGAACACGACAAAAAAAGCAATGGGGGAAGAGGGTAGAAAAGGCAAATGCACGCGCAGGATGGCCGATTCCAAGGCTGCGCGGGCGTAGCAATAATAAACGGGTCGCAGCGACGACTTTTTCGGCTCAAGGCAAAGCGGCCCTGGGCTGCCAGGGTTCCATCTTGACTGCTTGTAAATCACACAACCGCCCACTAGGCCTGCCAATCAGGGCTGCCAGCTGCCTCTTTAGAGTGCCCTCACGTGATCTTGCATCACAATTTCGCAGGGCGGAAATGAAACATCCGTTGAAGCCGAGAATGGGCTGACCAGGGGCAGCGCGGCATTGCCCTTATCAGATCTTCTCATCCGATCCTCGGAGCATGCTCGGATGCCTCAACGCCCGCCGACACGCCACCATGGCGCTCAAAACTTATAAACAACACGCGTGCCGCCGTCTAGACCGCCGTGGCTGGTGGGCGGTCGTCATCGGCGAGAAACAATCATTCAGCAGAGCACATTGTATGATGCGTGCATAATTCAATACTTGCACTGTAGGTGTAGAATACATTTCTTTGCGCGAACACATTGGGTCAACGCAATGGACCCGCTACGCACATCTATCTACTTCGCCACAATGCTCACTACATCCTCATCAGCCACAATGTGGCCCAAGCCCACCTTTTGTGGCACATGTCGGGCGCTCGCTCCCCACACCAATGCGTGCTTGAACGTCTCCTTGAGCGTCCGGTGCACCTGGTCGCAAACATCCTCAATTGTGCTTCCTTGGCGCACAATCAATGCCTCTGAGAAATCCGGCTCGCATCCCTTTCTCTTGGTGTAGATTCGGATCAGCCTCAGCTCTTCCCAACACCTATCCACCACGTCTTGAATGCCCAGGTCCAGTTCGCAGCTCATGACTACCGTGTTTGGCTCGCGTGCTAGTTCGTCCAAGTGCGGCAGGCCAATGCTGTCAATCTTGTTGTACACATACAAACACTTGATGTACTTGCGATGGTCCTTCATGATTGTGTCGATGAAGTCATCGACAGTGACATTCTCGTCGCGCACTAGGACTTCGCAGTTGAGCATCTTGTAGTCCTTGAGAATGTTGTACACCATCTTCTCGTCGATATACTTTGGCGGAACCTGGAAACTAATCTTCATACCACCAGCCTTTTTAGGCTTGAGGTAAATGTTGCTGCCATGTCGTTAGCTTTCTTCACACCGCGCCTTCATAACCCAAACTTACGGTGGCGATCGGTTCAACCGGATCCCTACGGCCTCCAATTCGGCCTCGAGCAACCGCCTCTGCTCCGCCTTCTTGGTAGCATCAAGAACCATGCAGATTAGGTCACTCGTCTTGGCCGCACTAATGACCTGTCTTCCGCGCCCCTTTCCTTCGGCAGCGCCCTCAATGATACCCGGCAGATCCAGGACCTGGATTTCCGCACCACCATACTCGAGCACACCAGGAATGGCCGTGAGCGTAGTGAAAGCGTAAGACGCAGCTTCAGACTTGGTCTTTGTGATTCTCGACAGAAACGTCGACTTTCCCACCGACGGGAATCCAACAAGGGCTATACGCGCATCACCTGATTTCGACACATCGAAACCACTTCCGCCGCCACTACCTGCGCCCGCTGCGGGCTCCAGCAGTTGTGCGCGGAGACGAGCGAGTTTTCTATACAAAAACTGTTAATAAATCCCATCTTCTTGTCTGTGAATTTCGCTGGTGCCTTGCCCTTTGAGTAGACCAAGATGATATTCTGTGCGTCCATGTCAGCACGTGACACTGAATTGTACGCGGGTGTGAAAACATGCATAACGAGGGGCAATCGCCATACCTGTAGCCTTATTTTCTATGCACACAAAAGTCAGCATTCAATTTCCTATTTCCGGTAGTGCGCATCGCAAAAAGCTCACTCTGCGTCCTCCGCATCTCCTCCTCAATCCTGGTGGGGGGGGAAAGCGTTAGCTCAAGAGCCACATCAAAAAAACTTGGAGGGGGTCTTGTCCCACTCTTTGATCTTCTCTGTAATGTTCACCATCTTGGCGACCTTTTCTCGGTTTGTGCGCTCAGGCTAGAGAGAGAAGGACTAGGGTGAGGGGGTAACTATGTCGCTGTACTTTTGTGTGGCGGCTGTAGTCCGGCAAAGTCACGATGGGAAAGGTTTGGTGTTGCAGCCAGCGCCCTCATGCCGCGAGCCATGGCTTGTTTAGGTTTAGCGCAAATCTTTTCTCTCCAGCAACTGCAAGATGCAGTGCGTCATGTACAGAGGGTGCAACCAGCAAATGAGCAAAAATACGCCAAATACGGTGCAGAAGGGCTAGTACCAATAGCTAGGCTCATAGTTCGCCACGTTTTTTTTCATTCCTCTACCAACTGGACCCTTTGCAGACTGGAAAACAGCAGTCTACATTCGCCACGCTTATTTTGTCAGCATCCGCTGAATCCACAACATTGTATTCTTGTTTTTTTCTCTTCTCTTTCTCAACGCTTCAGCTTACTGTTATCGTTTCTTCCATTTCAAAGATGCCATTCGGGCCTCCCGGTTCGTGGCCCGACTCATACCACAATGTAATAAAGTACCACTACGCGCAGTACGACAAGGCCATTGCATCTGGAGAATATCAACCAGTTGTGTTTCCATGGGCATGTATCGACATGCTACTGGTCACCATCTACCTTTTGATTCCGCACCAGAACCGGCCGTGGTTGAAGAGATGCCGGTTCTTGGCGTTCGCATGGATGCTCGTGTATGCAGTGTACAAGATCAGATACACAATGATGAGAGGGCTGGCACCAGCACTGATTAACGGATTGATCAACTCGTGGATGACGATATGGGTATTCGCGATACTCGTATGCAACGATGCCCAGACAGACTTTATGAGGATCGAGAGAACCACGGGTGTCTTTGGATCGAGCAAACGTAGTCATGTCAATGGATCTTCTGAAGCAAAAGAGACAGACGATCACAAGACGGTCCGAGACGACGTCGTCAACAGCTCAACCGGCCCAAAGGATCGTCACGGCGAATTCGCGTGGCAGCCCTTCCCCCTCAGCCCGATGCTGGAGCGACTAGACTGGGTCAATGACATCCTGTACAACTTTCGCGGCATGGGCTGGAACTGGCGCATCTCGGCCGTGCCTCCACCCCCAAAAGCGATTCAGACCCAGCTTCACCGCAACTCAGGCGACATTGTGCCCAAGCACTCGTTCAAGACGCACGCGGGCCAGGTGAAGCAGTACGCGACACGCGGAGAGCTCCTTCGCAGCAACTTCCGCACACTGGCAACGGGCTACCTAGCCCTTGACATCATCAAAACGACTATGATGCACGACCGTTACTTTTGGGGCTACATCGATCACGACCCGCCATCCTACTTGCCCTCACTAATCACCAGCTCGCCACACATGACTCACGCATACCGCATGTTGCTCTCAATGCTCGGCATCAAATTCGCCCTGCAATGCGTCTTCGCTCTTGCGCCCCTCTTCTTCAGCGGCGTCCTGTCACCCTCGCTACTCGGCGCTCGCGCGGAACCATGGATGTACCCGGATACATGGGCGCCTTACAGTGTCGTGCTTGACCACGGCATCGCCGGCTGGTGGGGCAACTGGTGGCATCAGACGTTCCGCTTTGCGTTTCAAGAGCCCAGCCGCAAGCTATGTGAAGTGCTACGGTTGGATAGGAAGACTAAGGCGGCCAAGCTGCTGCAGTTGCTGATTGCGTTCTTCCTAAGTGGCGTCGTGCATGCGAGTGGGAGTGTGACTTGTGCGGGCGACACGCAGCCTCTGCAGGGTCCCATGGCGTTCTTCTTGCTCCAGGCTGGTGCTATCTTTGTAGAAACTTGGCTCACGCAGCTTGCGCGTGCGGCAGGCATAGGACGGGGGTTACCTGGGTGGCTGAATAAAACTTGGACGTTCGTATATGTCCATGTATGGTTCTATCATACTGCTCATCTGCTGTGCAATGACTTTGCAAGAGGCGGCATATGGCTCTTTGAGCCTGTGCCAATTTCGATTCTCCGCGGTGTGGGTCTGGGTCCTGACAAGCACGATGGATGGTGGTGCTGGAGTGGTCAGGTAATTCGTTGGCATGCTGGGGAGACGTGGTGGAGGAGCGGTCTGACTTTGTGAGTTTGGCTTGTCAGGGTGTTCCTGGATAAGACGGAATGAGCAGTCGAGTCCACTCTTCCATCCTCTTCATCTCTCTCCTATAGACAGTACCTTTGGCTAGACGTAATACTTTTGTCAAGTCATTCTCGCATCATGACTCTGTCTCTCTGGAAGTAAACAAGCGTCTAGAGCACAGCCCTTTCAAACAACCCAATTAGTCAGCACAACATAGTACTGTAACCCAAATAATCCGTCTAGGGACCGGAAAGGGTTCAAAAAAGGGGCGGTAAGCGTAAAAAGATGATAAGGCTAAAGTATGTGTACCAAGACGGACAACGGTAATGCCACTAGTCTGAAGCACTAGCCTCAGACGCAAGCCTGAGGCGAAGAATTCGGCGCTTCCCCCCACCACTGAGTCATTCTGTTTCGAATGTTGGAAAAGAAATAAGGAAAAAGGGACGAGTGTGGATAGTGGGTTACGTTTAGCTTGGTGGGTAGTGAGCGACATGTTACACTGAGAAAAACCAAGTTTTACACGTGAAGATATTTGAAATAGAGAAATAATCATCGGAATTTTAGTGGGATGTAGGCGGGAAGGTATGAGGATATGGAGCTGACAAAGCAAACAAGACCAACAATACAGTCATGCGGCGCATTGTATACATGCAAGCCATGCCTCCTTAATTAAAAGGGCATGTAGAAATGAATTCTGTCCCGGATACATGACTTGGAATGGATGCCAATGACAAGAAGACGTATGCCGTAGAGTCTATTACATGAAGCCATGTTTACACACAGGGTAAACGGATAAAAAAGGGGTGGGCAAAAAAGAGACATGCGCAGATCTACAAAAGCGACAGTTGGCAGTAGCAGCAGCAACACCAGCGGCAGCTATGCAAGTTTGGGTATCGGAGGTACAACCACAAAGAAAAAAACAATAATAAATACTTACGGCACGAACGCAGGATCTAAGAATAGGAAAAGGGAATAGAAAAGAAAAAAAAAGATACAGGAACCGATAAGCGAGGCTGAAATAAACAAACATTATAATCTTTTTGCGTCGCCGCCAAATGGTCTAGTGGAATAAGATGGAGAAGAAAAAAAGCAACAGGCATATGTCATGATGCGCTCGCTCGGTTTTGTAAGACGAAAAAGGACAAAAACAAAAGAAGCCCGCAGTCCAGACCCTGTAAACTCCGGTTCGCATGCCGCTAAAATTCCAAGTCATTGCTGCCTTTTTGTTTAATGCTTCACCTTGTTTCGTAACTGCGTGCAATTCGAGGCTTAGGTGTTGGCTCCGATTGTCGCTGGTTGTGAGTTCACCTGCAGTGTAGGTGTGATGGGATATGGTGGATATGGATCGGTCTGTTGTGGTGAGTCGATATGGTGGCCATCGTCTTGGGTCTGAGGCCGGGAGCCAGTATCAGGGCCGAGGTGAGGATCTGGGATTTGTATGTCAAGCTGCGAGCAGAGAGTTAGTTAAAGTTGACCTCGTTTAAGTGTTTTTTTGCTTTTTGGGCGGGGGTGCATGCATACTGTGAGGTAGCCGGTCCGCCTTAGTGGGATAATTTTGACGGCTTCTTTTGCGCCAACATTGTGATTCCAGTCTTCTATCCACCTCTCGAGTTGAGCCAGCTTTTTCTTGACACCTGTGAAGCCAGCATCCTCCCATAGCCATAAGGTAGCAACGCCCATGACAGTGTCGAGACAAGCGCGGAGGGTAAATGGGTCAAAGGCCTCGGTGAGATCATCGTTGATCTTCTTGATCAGTATGCGAAAATCGTCCTCGGTGACGAGGGGATCCAGAATCTCGGGATACAAGTTGGCAAAGGTCGGGGCGAGGTCGCCTTTAACCATCCAATCACGCTTAATGCGGATGATGCGCGTCGTACTGTATAGCTCCGAATCGAGTGGGACATGGGGATTGGAATGAGGGAAGCAGGGGTGCGAAGGTCCCCAGGGAAACTCGGAGGCGGCATCGCCGTCTTCTTCTTCATCATCATCGTCGGCAGCAGAAGCTGATGGTCTGGAACCCATCGAGGAGCGTCGGGAGCCGGGCAGCGAGGCGCGCGACAGGCCCGATTGATGAGCATGTCCAGCCTCTACGTCCTTGTCGGCATGCTGGGCGGCGACAAGCTCTTGCGGCATTGCGGAGCTGGGCGACTGCAGGCTTCGAGGTGGATGGCGAGGCAGACCGATGCTGGTGCGAGCGCTGGCGGAGATGCTGTTGTCACCCGTGGAGCGTTCGACGGCGAGGGAGCTTGGCACGGGACTCTGACGGCTAAGACGCTGCTGGGGGAGCGTCAGAAGCGGATACTCGTCGCGGACGTCGTCGGGGGCAACAGGGGCGTCTGTTTGGATAGGTAGATTGGGGTAATAGTCGTCGGGCGGGGGTATTGGAATTTGGGGTGGAGCTGGGGCTGGGGGCGGGTTGTGTATTTGGAGGGCGCGCGGAGAAGAATTAACTGGGTTCCAGAGGCGGGCGGCAGGCAGGCGCGGGGGGCCCTGGTAGAAGGAGCGCAGGTTGATGTTGAAGATGCGGTTTGTTAGCGACCAGCGGGCAGGCACTGGCGACGCAGGAGGCGGCGGGTAAGCAGCGGGGGGCGAGCGTGGAGTCGTCGTCGTGACTGTGGATGGCGTGGTGATGGCGGTGATGAGTAGCGGTTCCTTAGGGGCCCCAAGTCACTGTGGTCCATGCTCTCGCCTGCATGCGGCCTGCAGCGTGACGGACACCAGCGAGCAGCAGCGAATGAGAGGGAGAACAAAGAGGGGTAGGCGAATGTCGCAGACGAGACCAAGGGCAACGGCGGGCGAATGGGACGAGTGAAAAGGCCGGACAGCGGTGGAGATGTGCCAGCAAGGTGCGGGTCGAGGAGGGGACGTCACGGGGACTGATAGCGACGGCGGCGGCAGTGGGTGGAGAAGAAAGATGGCGAGCAAGGGAGCAAGCAAGAGGTATGAGTGGAGGAACGAGGCGAGGAAGGTCGAGGGAGAAAAGGGCGTGGTAGTGGGTATGTATGCAGCTGTTTAGAGCCAGCAGGACGTCTCACGAAACCCGACGGTATAAACTTTGGCCCTGCATCCACACCAGGCCTCGGTCACGGCAATAAGAGGACGAGGGAGGGGAGAGCAGCAGCAGCAGCGTGTAGCGTCTGCAGCGAGGGGGGAGGGGGGCGCCGCCTTGTCTTGTAAGTAGATGAAATACGACAGACCCCCCCCAGTCAGCGTGGCCATGTTCGGCGGCGCAAGACTTGGATGGGCATGTGGCTCGTGTGCATGCTGGAGGGCAGAGAGCAGAGCAGAGTGAGCCTGTGGGTGCGAGCATGTGCGCACAGCCGTCAGCCCTGGGCGTCGACGGGCGTGGACGCAGGCGGGCATGGACGGGTAACCCCTGCAGCATCGACGACTGTGCCTGCATTACGCCCGTCATTCACTCCTCCGCCCACGCGGCTCGATGCATCCCGCCATCCATCCATTGCCATATGTACTGCGTGTGCAAAGCGGACATGCTTAGATCCGCACATATACGCCCACTTACCCAAGTACTTGTACCAGCCTCGGGACAACAACCACCGCATGCTTGCCTGCATACAGTCCTCCCACCCTTGTTAGCACAAACACTATCGGCGTGCCTTGACCTGGCGATCCTGTGCGTGTCGACTTACTTGGGTAGTACACATGTAGGTGTGTGTGTATGTGCCCAGCCCCATGCTCAGTCACATCACACCTCTGATACATGTCTACGTACCTCGTACCTGCATGTACTATTCCTACTCCTACTCCTACTCCTACTCACTATGTCTGCACATTACTCACCCTCCTCCCGAGGCATCAACGCCTACGTACGCCCCACAATGCGCATTTATCGCTTTCATCATCAGCATCAGCATCGCCCTCAAAGCTTCTCCGCCCTCGCTTCGCCGATCCGCCTTGTTGCCGGGCAAATCATCGGTGCCCCCACCCCTTTTTTTTCCATTCCATCTCCCTCCCTACACATGCTTTGTCTCCCCACTACCCACTACCCACAACCCACAACCACGCACCAAAAGAAAAAAGCCTCGTCTTCACACCTGCACCACACGTCAACGGCGTCGGACGGCGTAGCTGGGTGTGCGCATGTGTAATGTGTGTGCATGTGCGTGTCAAGGGGAAGAAGGATTTGACAGGCTTTTTTCGCACCACCGTCACCGGGACGTGTGCCTAGCCATCCGCATCCACACTCGACTCGCGGCACACGTGGCGACGGCATAGCGCCCTCCACCCTCCGCTTTAAGCCTCACTTTATTCTATGCACCCATCGTCGCAGTCGCAGTACGGCGACATATACTCTGACGCTGCCGCTTGGCCGCCACCACCGCTTACTCTCTCGACATGCCATGTCTCTTTGCAGAGTATATGTACAGCCTCACGCGTACATTCTCATTCTATACGCGCGTCAGAGTCATGATGGCGCCTGCACCCACTGACTCTCCTTCATCACTAATGTAGTATCTATCTATTCATCGGTAGGTCTTGGTCTGGGCTTGTGTGTAGAGTTTAGTATTACCAACAACAACTACTACTACTACTACTACTACTACTACTACTACTACTACTACTACTACTACTACTACTGCTACTGCACTACTGCAACTGCTACAACTACTTAACATGGCAGGAACTACCCAAGACATAGTTCCACCACCCATAAGCTTTTGCACCCATCGCTCCTTCTCCATTCATCCATGTTCATGCAGACTTTCCCATGACATGCCCAGCGGCTCACGTAAATCTAAATACAACATAAATACAGGTTAAAAAAACATGTCGACGTCATCAATCTCAACACCTACGCATGGCGGTTGGCACTCGCCTGCATCTTCCTCATCGCCTCACGGTGTGCATCTAGCATGTGCCCACTGCGCATCATGCTGTCCATCTGGCTTGCTCGCTGCTGCTGCACCATCTCGCGTTGCTGCTTCTCCAGCTCCTTTTGCCGCCGCTCAAACAGCAGCGCTGCACGCTGCTGCTCGATGATGTACGTTGTCGACGTTTGTGCAGGCGCCGCATCGCGTATCGAGTCGCGCCATCCAGCATACAATTGCTCGCGCTTGGAATTCGACTGAGCGCTGTTTGTACGCTGTGGCTGATGCGAGTCGAAGCCTGGTGGTGCCCCTTTACCCGCCCAGTCTTTGTTCTGCCACTTTTGCGACGCTGACGGTGGTGCCCGGCGAGGCGATGTCAGGGGTGCCTCAAAGGGGAGCTGGGGTGTTGATGACTGGCGCTTCAGCATTTGGCGACGCTGTGCCAACGTCATTTCTTCTCCTCCTCCCTCTTCTTCCTCACCCTCCCCCTCAACTTGGTCCTCGCCACGACTCAAAAGCAAGTGCCCACCCGAAGAATTTCGCTTCACCAGAGCAGACGCTCGGCTCTTGAGGAGGGTTTCTCTTTTGCTCATCAACGTATTGGTCGGTAGTGGGGCAAGAACATTAGGCCTAGATTTCGAGCTGGCCCGCGAAAGAACTGCTGCAGGTGGAGACCGCGTGTAGATCCGTGGATCAACAAGCGATTCCTGCGACAAAGCCAAACTGTTTCGGTCAAATCCACTGCTGCTGTTGCGTTGCATCCGGCTGCCGTTCGACACCCGCCTCGAGTTGCGCTTGAGCGGTGCTGCTAGCTCCTCGCTGACGGGCGCTGGCTTCTCTTCGGTTCCATTTGGCAGCATCATTCCTGGCGACGAAGGCCGGAAAATGTCCTCGTAATCCGGCTTCTCAGCTGCCTCAAGGTGCTTCGCCCATTCGTTGGTCCGATACGATAGAGCTACTTTTGACATGGTCTCTGGCAAGGCACCCTCCCGCAGCACACTGACACGTCGCGTCTCTGGCTCGGTATGCGAGCTGAGAGAAGGTGCATCGGACTGTGTTCCCTTGGACTGTTGGTCCGCACTACTTGTCTTGGAACTAAATACGGCTGTATCCCTCCTCACTCCAGCGTTTGCCGCACCTGACTGCTTTGAGTCGGTGCTAGGAGTGAGAGATTGCCGTGCACCAGCCGAAGACTGACTGCCATGCTCCTTTGTAATGTCCATCTTTGTCGTTTCGTTGCCGGTAGTAGACTCCTCGGTGGTATGCATGTCACCACTGGCTTTTGTTGCATGACCAGCATCGACAAAGGGGTTGTGTTCTGTTCCAATAGGTGATTGTACAGGAGAAAGCTCGCGTACGGATAGCTGGTCGTTGTCGTCGTCCAGAGTTGCAGCAACAGACGAAGCACGGTCATCGTTCACATCCTGAGTTACAAACACTGCCTCTTGAGAAGCTGCCAGGTCGCGAGAGATGCGTTGCCTCATTGCCGAGACGTCAGAGATGCGTTTGCTCACAGTTGGGCGCTCCGTCATATCAGTTTCAGTTTCAGGAATAGCAGAGACAGACGAGTTGTCGTCGTTGCTGTGCACATCTTCTTCTGTGGGCACCTTGAACGGAAGCGGTACGACAGCAGGTGGTGGGGATACTGTTAGCGAAGTTCGGCCTTCCTTTTCGACCATTTGCGGTTGTGATGTTTCCTCTGGAGTACCTGGCAATGTCTTCTCGCCATCAACTCCAGGAGTCGCAACTACGCGGGTCTCGACTACAGGGTTGCCTTTCGCGTCAATTGCTTGGATTTCGTCATCGTTGAGAACACCGACGGTGACTGTGCCTCTTGGTGCCTTGTTCATTATAGCAACTGGAATAAGATTTTCGCTGCTGTCGACTTCCTTTGCATCTAAGCTGGTGGACTTTTTGGGACTTGTGACGGATGATCGAGGGCTGGAATCAGGCAAGTTCTTTTCGCCGTAAGCCGCTTCCCATTGAGCGCGTTCTTTCTGAAACTCATCCTCAATCTTACGGCCTCGTTCTTCTTCTTCACGAGCCAGGTCCTGCTGCCTCTCAAGTTGCTGCGCAGCGTCCTTTGCACGATGCTCTTGAATCATTTTCCAGACCCGCAATTGAGAAACAATTCCAGCCACAGCTATGATGATGACACCGGCTAGTTCAGCCTTCATGTTCTTAGTCACGGGATACGTGTTGGTGTCCAAAGGAAATGTGGAGTCGTTGAGAGCTGCACATGTTAGTGACGCTCACAAGGCATGGAACCTGCACATACCCCAGAGATAGAGCCAAAACTCTTTCCATCCAGCGCCTGCCAAACAGTCTATTCCAAGAACCGACGCGGTTGCGCCTGAGAATGCGATTGATGCAATAAGGCCGTAATTGCGAGTGTAACGGCTAAAAGATAGTGACCAGCCAGCAGCAGCCATGCAGCCGATGAAGATGGCCCGACCTGTGCTCGAGCTGATCAAGCCACCATCCTTGAGACTGAGGAACCACATGCTAAGGCAGAAACCGCCGAGCAGGCAGCCAAAGCCCTCAGTCATATCCACAAAGACCAGTGAGAGTACGCCGAAGATGATGCCTGTGAAGAAGGCTGCTACGAAGAAAGCGCCCTGGATCGCATCTGAGACCGGTGGATTCATCAAGTAAATTATAAGAACTGTGACGGCGAGCGCAGACAGGTAAGCTGCAGATCCGAAGACATACACCCTGATGTCTGTTAGTTTGACTCTGTTAGGCACTGCCTCGAACTTACATTTTCTTCTTGATTCCTATGATACCATATACTAACCCAGATACTAGTAAAATCACTCCAGTGATTCCCATTGCTGGGGTGAGCTTGGGGTAAATGGGTAGCGGGCTCTCCTTGTTGACTAGGACCGGTCGTTAGTTTCGACACTCTGACTTATGCAACGATTGGACTCACCGGCAGGACTAGAAGGTGCAGGCTCATCAGAAGAAGCTGTTGAGGGAACCTCGGTTTGGGTGGTTGCCGAAGCTGAAGGCCTCGCAGAAGAAGGTACGGTAGATGACGCGCCATTGGACTCGATCCGTGAAGATGCTCTTGCAGAAGGGGTAGGTTCAGGCGTCGATGTAATTGAGGCTTGTCGAGAAGCGCTGTCTCGTGTTGTAGAAGGGGTCGAGTCTTCTGAAGAATTATCATCTTGCCGGCGCACGGCAGCATGAGGAGCTGCAGCTGTTGATTGAAGACAGACCAGCAGCGCAAGACATATTAAAAGAAAGCGGTAAGAAAAGCGCATGGTGGCGGTACACAGAGATGACGTGCCCTAGTAGCGACGAACAACTGCCATAGAAAGATTACAATTACCTTGCCTGAAGAAGGCAACAAATGACTTCCGCGAGAATACTCAAACGGGAAAAGGCGTGGCCTTGGATATGTCTGTCGACAATGGCGACGCGCGCACTGATGGGCAAGGAATGAATGCTATGGTCGGTACAAAGTGTTTCAAAGAGCGGATACTAATTACTATAGTAGTGCAAGTGAGTGGCTGAAAAAAAGAGTGTGGTTGGCATACAAGCCTATGAAGGAGGGGTGCGCAAGAGCTGCAGAAAGAAGTGCAGTAAACTGGCAATCGGTGCTGCACGGTGCATACCGGGCGATAAAAGCTATGGCTCGGAATGAGATCCTCTGACGGGATCGACGCTCCCTCCATAAGTTCCAGGAAGCGAGGGGCTTAGCTGGCGTGGCCGCATGAATGCAATATGGGTGATGCTGAGCTACCTGGCTGGCGGCGTCGGGATGGCGTGGGTCGTCTCAACGACCCATACTGCAAGTGGAGTGGTTTGGTCCTCGAAATTCTTCATTTTATTATTGGTACGCCAGCCACCAGTCATTCTAACGGGCTCAAGAAGCCAGCCACGCCTCTGCTAGGCGCAAAAAAAGAAAATGGCGTTTCATCCGGTTTTCCTGATGCGGCAGCAGTTAGTCCCAGACAGTCGGCTCATTACCTTCCGTCGAGATGCAAACAGAGGATACCATGTCAAACTTGTTTTTCACGAGGGCATCAAGGCTAGGATGCCCTCTGACGCCTCAGAAGCTGGCCAAGAGGAGTGCTTATTCCTAGGGCTGCTCTTCCGCCATATTGGAGCACTAAGGTTGCGCTACGCGGCCTGCATAAGCCTGCGGCTCGTTGCATGAAGCACATCCACCAAAGGAGGGAGGGGGGGTCCCCTCCTCACATAAAACGTCGACGTGTAACCTCCGTAGTCCCACCGCAAAAGCCTCACAGCCTCAACATACCGTCAGCGTATACTGTATATGAAGCATCTTCCTCGCTGCGCCGTCAAATTGCTCGCGTCGCCCGAAAGCAGAAGATGTGACCAGAACTTCGGGCCGGGCCAATCCCACAAGCGAAAGGCGCCAATACTTGATCTACCATGAGCCGTGCGAGCCGCCGAAGATCCAGTTCTACCTTTTTGGCATACCACACGTGGCCATGCACTCATGTTTGACGTAGCGAATCCAGCTGTCGCCTGTCAGCCTGCTTGTCACGGGTTTCGCCAACTGCACTGACAGCTCTTCTTGACAATTCTGACCTCCGCCATCCCGATGCCAGCCCACCAGCGCCCCAGCGCCCCAGCGCCCTTGCTCACCCACCATGGCCGATCCCCCCCCCATTCTCATCGATTGTCAATTGTCAAAATCGCTCCCGAGTACGACGTTGATCTCAAAATCTGATCTTGATCTGACTGTGTAGAGTAAAAGACATGTCACCTAGCGCAGGTGCCCTCACCCCCGAAACCCGGGTGGGCCTATTTAAGATTGCCGATACAGGCAAAAGCCTTGCAGGCCTGAGGCGCACTCACGACATGACGTTACATGATGGGCACCCACATTCACCACCTTCAATCATACATCGCCATGAGGATATGCGAAGATGTTTTTTTTTGCCAGATCACGCCAGTGGCCTTGGGATAGCTCTGCATCATCTGCACAATACATTTTTTTTTTCCTGTTGGTCATTTTCCAAACTGATGTGCGGTTCACGCTATTCCACTACCGTTTCCCCGCGTGCTCCAATACATCTGCGTCCTCGGTACCAGTATACTGCCCATCACTCGTCCACTAAGCAGCAGCTATCTACTGCTCCGAAACCTGCAGCCACCCCACCCTCCTCGCTCTGGTCGCCCTTTGTGCGGAGAAGATAACCGGCTCCAAAGTTCTCTAGTATCTCGCCCTTGTTGTCGCCTCCATTGCCATCTCTCCAAAGACACGCGCCGTAAACGCCCAGCTCGCAAATAACACCGCCCCTCTGTAGCTCTCCGTTTCGCAGAATGGCATTTTCCAGCGGAGGCGGCTCAATCATTTCCATCAAAATGTACGCTGGCCAATGGCTCTCGGGGAGATTTGCCAAGAACGGCGGGATGGCTTTCCGGTAAACGTTATTCCCGCCTCCCTCCCGTTGGGGCTTCAACACATACTTGACGGCCGTCGACGCGTCTGTAGCAAGTTTCCGTGCTTCATTACCAGCCTCGCTGTTGTCTAGTGGATAGATGGGCGCAAACGTCTCTAGCACGCGCGCAGCGACCTGAGCATCGGGAAGGAAGCGCTTGAGATGTTGCGAGTGTGGTGTTGCGAGCACCTGCTGCACTTTTTTGCACCCAGCAAGGTGGGTCAAGATGCTGGGACATTTGATTGCACGGCTCTTTTCAAGATGAAGGCGCGCTACCCAGTCCTCATCTTTTGGGTAATCATCTGGCGAATACCCTGCTCGGAAGTAGACAGTCGTCACTTCGTACGATGTCGCTGGTGAATTTGGTGGCGTATAGACTAATGTGCGATCCGAGTCAAGCTTCGTATGAGTCAAGGTTTGGCCAAACGGCAAGCGAAATGATCGGACGCCGTTTTCTTCTAGCAAAGCATATTCGAGATGCCTCTGGTCAAAGACGTTTCTTTCAGGGTCCTGCACAGCGAACAAAACACAGAGAGGTCGGCCAGTGCGCGATGCTCCATATGCCTTGTGCGCCGCAGCGAGACCTTTTGCTAGTGAAGAGGCAGATTTGCTCAGTTGTAGAGCCTCCTTTTTGATGGTTGAGAGTGCCGATTTCGGGTAAGCATCAATAGTGAGTAGATACTTGTGCAACGCCGACACCTGGCTCGAGAGACCACCAAATGATGATGCGATGGTGTTAAACTCTACCTGCTTCAATCCTGGCGGAGATTTAGGTTGTGACAAATCTTGGTGTACCATGTAATCTGAGCGGAAAAGCCCCAATGAGAGGTCTTGTACGTATCCTTCCTTTTTGACCTCGAGATGGGTATGCCATAGCTTTGCAACAAAGTCGTCTACATCCAAAAGCTGCTCCACAATGCTCTTCAACCATGGTTCGTCCCTTGCGATTGCCGAGTACAACTCGTTGTACGCCTTTTGTATGGCGAGACCCTGCTCGAAACAAGAGCGTGGGAAGAGGCTGGGGAACAAGGTGACCGGAGCTGTGCTTGCCAATACACCTGCCGGGTCCTGCGAAGGATTGACGAACGAGGGCGCGGGACGCACCGCTAGGCCATGCGCTATAGACCAGTCCTTGAGATTCTCCAGCAGGTACTGCTCCTCCTCCTGAGATAGCTTTGGCGGGTACTCTGCACTCGCTATAGAGGCCATGGCTGCTGGTACGATTGGATTGTTGTGGAAAGAGGTTGGATGAATTGCTGGAGAAAAGTACCTCTTTGGAAACTTACAAATGCAGTCGGCGCTAAAAGCGATGGTCTCATCTGCCCCGCTACTTACGGTCGCGAACCGACTCACTTTTGCTTACATCACTCGATCGGTGACCAACGCCTTGTTCTAGCAATGTTTATGTGTGGTACTGGGCGTTTAATTCTCTTGCCCTTTGAGTATTCCTTCCCTGTGTTCTCATTGCGCCGCTTGCAATGTATGCACTTACCCCTCCTCGCGCTGTCACATGACCGCGTGTGCCCGGGTCCGTGGCGAGCAAACGGCGCGGTTCACAGCATTGGGCACACGCCACGCTAGTACCCTCATGTCTTTTACCTCAGTCTCAGCAGTACCTCGACGCCTATACGTGTTCTCAAGCAATCAACATGTCCACCAATGATCCCTGGCTATGGAGTGTAGACGAACTAGTTGCCAGCCTATGTCACTCACCCACACTATTCATTAATGCAGGGCATTCAGTCGATAACATTCCGGATAGCTCGACTCTTGAGACAGGGCTGCGAGCGCAGAACATGACAGGAAAGACGCTACTTACTTCTTTTGCAATGCATGAAGTAGTAATTACAAACAAATTGAACATATCTCGTATAAGTCAGCGGTTTGCTCTACACGCAGTGATAGAACTGCTTCGACGAGATTCACGTGGCTACCATATCCAGCACGCGACCAATACGAGTGAAGTCCCGCTCAATAATAACGCCCCAAATACTTCGCCAATTGCACAAATCATTCGAAGCCCACAGGTAGCGTCCAATCAACGGGGGACTGAACCAAAACGAAGCAGAGCTGAGATCATCCCAGCCGGGCCAGTGCGCCAAACGCTGCAAACGCAAATGCAGACACATGATACGTCAAACGAGTTTGACCATCTTCTGAGATGGCAAAATACAGCTGAAGACGACGAAGTGATCGATTTTGCAGTTGCCAACATTCAACAGGACGATGAATCTATCGGCACAGATGAAGATGAAGAAATAGACGATCCGCAAGAACCTGACGAGGTAGAGGTACCATCAGGTCGAAACAAGCTCCCTCCTGAGCAAATCGTCAATATCATTAACGAGTGCATCGATGCCTACAGCAAATCCTGGAAACCAAATGCAGGCGTTCCCCGCGGCGAAGAAGTCGACTACGATGTCCACGCCATGTGGGATGAAGCAGAAGCCTCGGGACAGCGAAAAAATCTTGTGCAAAAGTACGAAGAAGATCATGCATACTTTTCGAATAGACTCAACAAACTGTGCGATGAGATTGTTAATGCTGCTGGAAGCAACCCCGTAAGTGGATGTTCTTGTTACATGACTGAAGGTAGACTGACATTAAGCTACCATCTAGAATGAAGTACGCACGCAATGTCGCAATCTTGAGACTACGATCCAAGCAATGGAGCTGGCCGGTTGGCTAAGGGAGATATACGAACTGGAGCCGGTCGATAGCGATGACGAGCTTGCAGCCTCAGCCGACGATATTAGCATGGCATCTTTACCAAGGCCCCAGGCTATTGCAGCCACCGAGATTATCAACCTGGATACGTCGCCCGAACCTTCGGAAATAGGAGAGGCGGTATCAACCGTGGAGAAGCCTCTTCAAGATGTGGCTGACAATACTGGGAATTTATTGAGCCACCAGAGGCGGACATTAACACCGGACTTCATCCTTCGTGATATTGCTGGGAATTCCTCGAGCCGCCACAGGCAGTCGCCATCACCTGAATTGGCCATTACTCAGAGCATAGAGCCAATAGTCAACAAGTACCATCGCCCCCTTCATCCCAATGGCCCTCGGCACACACCTATTCTCCGAAGATATGGAGATGACCCCGAAAACGCTTCGATCAATTCGGTACGCCGCTGGAAATGGAAAGACTTAACTGAGCACCTTGATCGCAAGCGTATCGTTTCCAAAACCATTTTTGAAATGGATGGCAGCGGTCGCGAGTCGGTTCGCATCCGTGTCCAGCTCATTGACAAGACATGTCTACTAAGAGAAATCGCGGCGTGCATTGACATGTTATGGAGAGGAGAATCGAAACTGCAGGGCGTACTCCCTCGAGACATGGCCAAGATTACCCGCTTTACCAACATATTTCTGTCGTGGTGGTTCTGTAGGAACTATTTTGATGGACCAAACGCATCTACGGCAGAACTCGAAGAGCTCAAGTCCTGTTTATCAGACGGATCTGCTGGAGCATCTACCTTCTACGACTACCTTTGTAAAATTATGGAAACGACCTTTAGCGAACAAGCTCTCCAGCACCCTGATCAGCCGTCACAGGCAGAGATCATTGAGATATCGGACGACGACTGAGGACATGCAGTTGACTGACTAGCATGCTGTCTAGTGGTCTAGTGTCTTTTGATGTCCGGTGTGGTATGTCATCGGAGGGCATCTAGGCCTCGGCAGGCATATACGATGCCGATGCGGTGAATATCGCACCACACGCGGCGCATCTCGGCAGTGTTACTAGCTGCTAGCCGACTTCGCACTTCCCACACGCTTAGCTCAGCAGAGTTCATGGCCATCTGCAAGCTGATAGGTAGTATTTACATACTAGCATGTATGTAGAACGCGACCAAAGTTTGCTGCTCACGTAAGAATGGGGTCCATACTTCTGCAGAGTTGAGATAGAGTCGGGGTCCGAGACGTGGGGACGCTAATCACGTGGTCTGCACGTTTTCATATAGATGTTCACCGAGGTACAGGGTCCCACGTTTACTCAGATGAGCTCGTCTGGAACTTTTACGTGGAGCCGCTGGCGAAAGAATCTGACAAGATACGGGCGGGGGTTTCGGTAACGGAAGCCATGGGCCAGGCCCGGGACCCCTCATGCGTACATTCTCACAGAATAACAAGGCCGGTAATATAAACTGTACCCTCATAGTGACGCTTATTAACCCCGGGTCCGGAATCCTAACACAACGGACCAATCACGGTTGGTTCAATTGATGTGGATGACCGGCATTCCCTGGCTCCGCGCTATTACCGCATGTAACTCAACTTTCGGGATTGACACATTTTCAGAACAAGTCCTCCCGCTCTTTCCCACTCTTCTCTCCAACCCTGACTTCAGCACCAAAATACATATATACAAACCCTCATCGCATACTCTCGCAGATTAACGCCTCGCGCAACCAACCACCATGGAGGCTCTTTTGCGCCAGTCAAAGTCCATGTGTCCGTTCCTTCACAAGACGTCACCCGCCACGCTGCGCTCCCTCTCCACCACCACGGCCGCCGCTGCTCGCCATGAAGTGTCGCCTGGCGCCGGCAGCATGTCAAATCTCCAGGTGCTCGCTCGCCGTTGCCCCATCATGGGCAAAGCGCTTGCTGTGCAGACTGCCCGCAATGGCAACAGTGCACTAGCCGGCGCTTTCGGCGGTGTGCGTGCTTACCACTCGCGCGTGAACCGGGCAAGGCTTCATACGACGGCGTCCAAGGAGGCTCAGGCTATCGATCTTGAGAATCTGAGAGGCCAGAAGGGTATGGATATTTGCAAGAGCGAATACATGACATCAACAAGCTAACGCAGCACAGGCCTGGCTCCGTTCCCCCACGCACCCCTCAAACCTGCTGTTAGCAAGCCTTCTAACTTTGCTGCCCCTGCTGCTTCCAAGGGCTCCAATTTCGACTACGAAGGCTTCTACCAAAATGAGCTTGAGAAGAAGCACAAGGACAAGTCGTACCGATACTTCAACAACATTAACCGTCTGGCCAAGGAGTTTCCTCGTGCGCACAAGGAATCGGCCGAGGACAAGGTGACGGTGTGGTGCTCCAACGACTACCTGGGCATGGGCCGCAACCCACATGTGCTCAAGACTATGCATGAAACGCTCGACACATATGGAGCGGGTGCTGGAGGCACTAGGAACATTTCGGGCCATAATAAGCACGCAGTAGCGCTGGAGAACACAATTGCAAAGCTGCACTCCAAGGAGGCTGCGCTTGTCTTTTCTTCATGCTATGTAGCCAACGATGCGACATTGGCAACTTTGGGTAGTAAATTGCCCAATTGCGTCATTCTCTCGGACAGCCTGAACCACGCTTCCATGATTCAGGGCATCCGCCACTCTGGCGCAAAGAAGATGGTGTTTAAGCACAACGATGTCGCAGATCTTGAAGCAAAACTGCAGTCAATTCCTGCAGAGTACCCCAAGATCATTGCATTTGAAAGTGTATACAGCATGTGCGGATCCATTGGTCCTATTGAGGAAATCTGCGATCTTGCAGAAAAGTACGGCGCCATCACCTTTTTGGATGAAGTCCATGCTGTAGGCATGTACGGACCACACGGCGCTGGCGTTGCTGAGCATCTGGATTACGAGGCGCACAAGGCAGGCCGACCCCAAGGCACTATTCAAGATCGTGTGGACATTATCACTGGCACGCTCGGAAAGGCATATGGCACCGTTGGCGGCTATATCGCAGGTTCTTCTAAGCTGGTTGACACGATTAGGTCGCTCGCTCCCGGCTTCATCTTCACTACCTCGCTGCCACCCGCGACCATGGCCGGTGCTCAGACTGCTATTGAGTACCAGGCCAACTATCAGGGCGACAGGCGCCTGCAGCAACTGCACACTCGGGCAGTTAAGGATGCATTGAATGCGAAGGACATTCCCGTCATCCCGAACCCTAGCCACATTGTGCCCGTACTTGTTGGCAACGCCGAAATTGCCAGAAAGGCATCGGACATGCTTCTCGAGGATTGGGGCATCTACGTGCAGGCGATCAACTACCCTACTGTTCCAGTCGGCCAGGAGCGCCTTCGTATCACGCCCACGCCTGGCCATGTCCGCGAGTACCGGGAGCACCTGGTCGAGGCTGTTGACGCCGTATGGACAGAGCTTGGAATCAAGCGCACCAGCGAGTGGGCTGCCGAGGGCGGCTTCATTGGCGTCGGCGAAGCCGGCAAGGCTGAGGAAGCTCCTCTCTGGACAGACGAGCAGCTTGGCCTCGTTGATGTCATCCGCGAGATGAAGGCCGGCCAGGGCGCGACTGGTGTGCTCGAAGCTGTGCTCGAGCATGAGCGCAAGGCTACGGCCCAGGCTGTTGCAGCTGCGGCATAGACGCGCAGATGTCTTAGTGTATATGGTGACGATGGTCTGGTCGCTCTTTTGTATAGTTTGAGACCTGGATAGCTTACGGTGATGGCTTAAAAGCGCAGCGCAATACAACTTTTAATTGTCTGCTCATATATTGCTCCATGATGTGCGCGTGTTTAGTTATGTGTGAACGTGTGAATGTGTGCATGTGGCGGTGTGCATGGTAGTAGTGATACAATAAGCAGCGGCGCAGACAAAAAGAGTCGAGGTGAATGAATGCACGGTCGGACGCTAGCGGAGCTCGCGATGTCTTGAGCCTGTGCAAGTTCCAGACACGCTTTCATCATCAACCTGCGCCCGCCGCAACGCGACTCTCGCCCTCCTGCTCTGGTTCTGCCCACCAGCCTGGATCCGCGCTTCTTCTACAGTCTTTGTATTGTTCATTGACTGCACGGCACGCGCGCGCGCAAACGTCAACCACGCATTGTCGAGCTAGCACTCTCACGAGCAACCACCGCATGCTCGCCTCATATTTTATCAACCCCCAGTTCGCGCCGGTCTCTCGATCCTGAGAGGGTACCACCATGGCTCCCCCGCCAAAGCGAAAGCGACCTGACCGCACTTACTCACAGGATGACGACCGCACCGGCCGCCCGTCGCCGCATCGCCCGCAGAACATGGGACTCGCGCATAACCAGCAGCAAACCAACAGTCCACGCGGCGGCGGCGGAGCTGGTAGGCGGCCTAGCAGAAACAATGGCCGCGGCGGCTCTAGCGTGCCCCATAGTCCCAACGTCTCGCATGCATCGCCGCCTGCCATGTCGCCCACCAGCAATACTTCCTTCACATCAGCCAGGCCGCCTCAGCCGACACCGTCCACCCCTGTGCGCCCTGCCGCCCCTGCGCAGCCCTCGAGACCCACGACGCCGCGCCAGGTACCTGAGAGTAATGAGTACCTGACACCAGACCGGGTCGCTCATTGGAATGGCGAGGCACGCGACGCTGTGGTGCAGGCTGCTTTGGCTGCCCAGCGCGAGGGCAACGTACTCACCCTGTCAGTCATATTCCACGAAATCATCGAGGCATCCATAAACCATGTCCTGGATGCTGGCGAGTTGGGCTCCATGGTGCGGGACATTGTATCGGTACCGAGCGACGACGACGACGACATTGACTCAACATCGACTTTCCTCGATACGTTGAGTTCGCTCACGAACGATGAGAGCAAGCAGGCGTCTGTACGGCAGATGCTTGTTGCCACCAACATCGACGTTTCACGCATGCGCTCCGAGCTCGAGAACGACCTCTTGAAGTCGCTGGGTCTGGTTCGCGATAGTTTTGGCAAGATGGCTGTTCGCAAAGCCACCCACGCACTGTACCGGCAATCCAACTACAACCTCCTGCGCGAAGAGACCGAGGGCTACTCGAAGTTAATGACCGAATACTTCACCACCGTGAACAGCGAACCACCAAACCAGGAAGTCGTGAGCGAGACCTACCAACGGGTAAACGCTCTCATTGGTGCCTTCGACTTGGATATCGGACGAGTCCTCGATGTGACACTCGATGTGTTTGCCAATCTTCTAGTCAAGCACGGCAGATTCTTTGTCAAGTTGTTACGGACAAGCGCATGGTGGCCCGAGCTACGCGGTTTCGACAATATCGAATGGGAGGAACCCGAAGTTCCCACGCTTCCTCGCTGGGCTGAGCCGGGGTCCAAGCTCTGGTATTACTCAGACGAAGAGAAGGAAGAGCAGCTACGACTACGCGAATCCCGAGACCGAAAGTTCTGGCAACGTGTGGGCGAGTTGGGCGATCGGGCAGGCGTTCAGGCATTCTTTGAACTTGGTGCACGCCGTGTTACTTCGAACAACCGACAGCCGGACCCGACACTACTAGCAGAAGGTGCATCGCTCTCCAAGCAGCAGGCGGCTCGAAAATGGGCCGACGAATGGATGGCGCAAACCAAGACTCTTCCTCCCTCTGGAAACGACATTGCAGCGCAACTTCTTGGCTTCAAGCTTCGTTTCTATGCTTCTGACGTCCGCGATGCGTCAGATGTTCTCCCCGAGAACCTCATGTACCTGATCGCGCTCTTGATCAAGATTGGATTCATTTCCATTCTTGACCTATACCCACATCTATACCCATTGGAAGAGGATATGGCTGCGCACAAGGAGAAGCTTCTGAAGGCTAAGAAGGAAAGGGAGGACAAGGAACGTGGTGCGGTTTCTAATGCGTTGACTATGGCTGGCGCATTACCTGATGATACACCTGGACAACCTACCGTTTCCCGTCTGAGGGATACCGAAAGCAAATCAAAACCGGATACTGGAAGAAATACGCCTGTAAACCCCGATGAGCCTGTGGAAAAGAAGAAAGACCTACCCGAGCCAACAGATCAGAAGTACACTCTTCTGAAAAGTCTGCTGTGTATTGGCGCACTGCCGGAAGCATTATTCATCCTTGGACGCCATGCCTGGTTCCTGGAAGTATACCCTGAGCTCCAAGGCCTCATCTTCCGTTTGGCTCACCACTCCGTGGGCAAGATGTACGAAGCATCAAAGCCTACGCCGTTTGAAGAGCCCACTATTTCTATCAAAGGATCGAGTGTACGTGGCCCTCAGAGGCCCAGCGACTTCATTCCGCGACGGACTCTTCGATGGGCCAAGCCTGACCAGAAGGATTCTGATGGAGGTGTTGATTACAAGTTCTATTGGGAAGACTGGGTTGACAATGTCCCTGTGTGCCAGGAAGTAGACGACGTGATCAAGCTTTGTACCAGTCTTCTAGGCTTGGTCGGAGCCGAGTGCGGCAGGGATACTGTGCTCCTAACAAAGATTATACGCATTGGCAAGCGAAATCTAGCCGATGACCCCTCAGAAGAGAACCGGAAACGATGGATCAACTTTTCAGCCACCTTTATCGCGCCTGCGGTATCCTTCACCGGCAGGAACCCCGGAATAATCAATGAGGTGTGGGACCTCTTCAAACATTTCGACACCGCCACTCGATACACCATTTACCAACAATGGTTCAATGGGATGCTTAAGCCAGCCAGCAAGAGGGCTTTCGAACAAGTCCGCGATGAGACCAAAAAGACAATGAGCCGTATTTCTGCTACCAACACGAAGGAGTATGGACGTAAAATTGCCAAAATTTCGTACGCCAGCCCTGGATGGGTCTTCAAGACAACGGTCAAGCAATTAGTCAACTACCCCAATATGATTACCGCTTTGGTAGAGTGCAGCCGATATCTCACCTTGCTCGGATACGATGTCTTAACCTGGACCTTGGTTACATACCTTCTCAGCCCCGATAAAGGCTCGCATCAGGACGACGGCATGCTATCTGCCCCTTGGCTCAAGAACATTGCTACCTTTGTCGGCAAAGCTTACGCAAAGTACCATTTGATGGATCCCCTCCCAATACTGCAACTCACCATGCGTCAACTCTTAATTGCAGAAGGTGAGCTCTACATGTTGGATGTGCTTGAGCAGATGGTCAAGTCTATGGGTGGAATCAGCCTCAGCGGATCCGTCTCTGAGGCGATGACCCTAGCCCTCTGTGCTGGACCAGCGCTTCGATCCTTTATTTTGCAGCATCGCTTAGCGGATTATCGACACTTGTCCGGTTCTTCTGCGCGACGTCTGATTAGGTGCCTGAAAGAGACAGGTTTGGGGCCGCAGATTCTTATTGCACTTGCGCAGCACGTGGAGGCTTACGTTCACCGTGTCGATCAGCAAGAGGTTCCCGACAAGCCGGTTCTCTTTAACGTTGACAAGCTCCGTTCCACTCTCCTTCAGTATCTGGAGCTCCTCCGAGCATATATTACCGTGGATGACTTCGATACCATCTTCCCGTCTCTTATCGAGATGATGTCTGATTTCAACATCGAGCCAGATGTCGCCTTCACCATTGCTCGTGCAAGTATTGCGGCCAAGGCTAATGAGTTCCGAACTGATCAACGCGCGAAACTCATTGCCAACACACAGTCAAATGGTGATACTTCTATGTCAGGCATCGAAGAGGAGTCACCTACAAACGGCGCCAAAGCCGAAGTAGCAGCTACCGAGACAGCAAAGACGAGCGAAGATGTCGAAATGGCAGATACTGATCCATCTGCCGTCTCGGAGAAGCCTTCATTACCTGAAGTTCCAAACGCAGAAATTGAGCGCTTAGCAACCCAGCTCCAAGAAAGATTACCCGGTAAGTTTGGAAATCACCCCTGTCTGTCATACTACGTCACCTTTTGGCAACTCTCCCTGCCAGATGTCGACATTGGAGGAATCGATCAACAGTACCAAGAAACGATTGAGTACTTCGAGCGGCAGTTGCCTGCCCCAGTCCCTGATCGTCGTAACTATCGATCCAACGTCCCGAAGGCGGAGACTGATGCCGCACGACGGGCAAAGCATGAAATTCCTAAACTCAAGGAAGAAAGAAAAAACGTTACACAAGCCAACGCCGCGACACAAGATAGCCTCAGGGCTGAGCTCAAAGGATGGTTTGCCGGTGTAGCAATGATTGGCCCACAGTGTGATGCGTTGCACAATGCTTTGCTTCAAGACTGCTTCATTCCACGTAGCCGCATATCATTGGAAGATGCACAATATGCCTCGTCAATGCTCATGTTTATGCATAGTTCAGGCGTTCCTGGATTCCGCATGAGTAGACTGTTGGACGTCCTCTTCTCTATTAACAGACTTACATGTATCATCAGCATGTATACCGAAGCAGAGTCGTTATCCTTTGGTCGATTCCTTAGTGACATACTTCGTGAGCTACAAGTTTGGCACGAGAACAAGGACAATGCGTACGCCAGGAACGCACAAGGACCAGAAAAGAACCTCCCTGGTTTTGGAAGGAGTTATGATGCCAATGGGAACGCCACGAGTTTCTTTACGTACGATCAGTTTTGCATGTTGTTGTTCAAATGGCACAGGTCGCTTACTACTGCGCTGAAGACTTGTCTTGAGACTGGTCGCTACATGCAGATGCGCAATGCTATCAACGTTTTGCATGCTCTGGGCAACAACTACCCCAAGGTTCAGAGCTTAGGTGCAGAGCTGAAGCAGACAATCGAGCATCTGAGCAAGAATGAGGAGAGGGGTGATCTCAAGAAATCATTGGAATCGGTCCTGGGTCCTATCACAAAGGGTGAGAAGTCATGGCAGGACGACCATGTATTCCGTAATGTAAGTCCACTTGATTTGCTGAGTATTCAACGGCGGACTGACGCAACCCAGCTACCTGCACCAACACCTGCTCCCGGAAGTACGACCAATGCTAGTGACAAGGCTGCAACGGAAAGCAAAAAGTCTTCGCAAACACAGGACACAAAGCTCAATGCATCTGCACCTGCTTTCAAGCCAACTCCTGAACAGTAAGTGAAATATTGACACCGCCATTCCCAGTAATGAGACTGATCGCCCTTCTCAGAAACGGAACCCAGCAAACCCCTCTACGAGACATGGACGACAATACATCGAAGCGTAATGTTTCTACACCTGGAACTCCTGCGCCCTCAAGAGAAAGGGACGCGATCAATCCCGCATCTAGACATTCTGAGGCTCAGCCAGCTACTCCTCAGCAACAAGAGCTAGTAATGGGTAGGTCTGCCCCTAAACCCGGTCCTCCAATGCACCCGTCATCTGTACCACAAAGACCAGATGGTAGAAACATGCCTATGCAACCCGCTACGGCTGGAAGACCATCGCATGCTTTGCCATCCCGGCCGGACTCACAGCCATCGAGGGCACGACAATCAGAACGTCCGGTTATGGATCGGCCGCCAGAAGCTGCACATAGCCGCTACGACAACCGAGGTCCTCCACAAAATGACTATGGTCGACTGGACCGTCCCGGAGACGTCGGACGTCACCGTGAGCCATCTCCTGGTCGTCGTGGGCGAATGCCTGATGGTAGAACTCCTGAAAGAATACCTCCTACGGCCGAACACCGAGAATGGTCTGGTAGGGAGCGCGACTATGACGACCGCACTTTACGGGCACCGCTACGGGATACACGGGCGCCACCAGTTCGACCACCACCCACCTGGGATGCGCGCGATACCAGAGACCCGAGAGATCAACGTGAGCGTTCTGACCCTCGTATGCACCCTGTACCTCCAGCGATGGAGAATCGTCGGATGCCCTCTTCCACTTCATTGAACAATGAATATCGACGAGAGGTCCCACCAGCCAATGTCCCTTACGGTATGGAGCAAAATGAAAGGCCTCAACGGCTGCCCCAGGCGCCAATATCGGCCAAGGAGGAGCCCACGGTCAATCCGGCTCGTGCTGCCCTCATCAATCAAGTTGAACATGGCAGACACGACGCACCAAGGCCTGACCGCGACAGTCGTCGGGAGCGTGATTCTCGTTTGAATTCTCCTCGTCATGGCGATGATAGGCGCGGGGAAGATCGTCGAATGGAGGAGCGCTTGCCTGGCTATCATGGACGCAGCGATATGCCGCGTGAACATCGAGACGACCGTTCTCTACCTATACCACCCAGCAATCGAGACCGACGGGACGAAATGGGATCGGGCGCACCTACAGGGCCGCGCGGCGGACGCAACGATCCCACCACATCATCGCGTGGGACAAGGGACATGTTTCAACCAAACTCTGGCCCACGATCCTCAGGGCATCAGGCCCAAGACCCCAATTACGGAAGATTGAACCAACCCTCGGACCCTGGGCCACCATCAGGACCTCGCAGTGACCGAACGTCATCACAGTCGCAACCTCCTACACCTACTGCACCTTCTGGTCCTGCAGCGTCACTACCTGCAGGTGTTCACCCTAGTAGACTTGTGAATATCGAAGGCAGAGGACCCAATGGCCCGCCACTGCAGACTAACGTACCAAATGCTCCAAGCGGTCCGCGAGGTTCCAACAGAGCCTCTCAGGGCCAAATTCCGTCCTCGCCAAATGGTTGGGGTCCTCCTACGGGCCCCGCAGCTGGAGACCGGGGGTCAAGAAATAGTGGAAACCCTTTACGGACTATCAATAATGTCTTGTCAGCGAACACGCCTGCTGAAAGGTCTGGTGATCGTAATGTCCCGCCTACCAACCCACCAGTTCGTGGTCGCGGAGCCGCCCGAGCCAATGGACCGATAGACGGATCCGGTGGCACGGCAAGTCCCATGTTACCACCGCCTCATGGATCAATGCCAAACCAATACCAGAGAGGTGGTAGAAACGATGACAGTCAAAGCAGGGTAGAGGGTATCCCACAGGAAGAGATTCGCTCAGAGTCTCGTAGCCACAAGGACAGCAGACGGAGTGAAAAGTCAGGACGAGAGCGATCAACAGATCGACCCGACCGTCGCTCTGATGAACGAAGCAGCCGTAGTGGAACTTCGGATCGCATAGAAGGCGAGCGTAGCTCTGAGCGTGAGCGTGGAGGACGAGAGAAGCGTGGCGGTGATAGGGAGAGCAGTCGACGAGATCGCGAACGAGAAGGCGAGTCAAGGTCAGGACGGGAACCACGTGAGAGCAGCAGGCGTGAGCGAGGCTCCCGCGATGAGGGACGAACTTCAGGAAGGGACGAACGCGATAGGCGAAGCCGAGGAAACGGCGGAGGAAGTGGGGGAGACGATGGTCGCAAGAGAGGCCGCGATCCCCAGGACCAAGCACACGGTGATGCAAAGAGGAGGCGATAGAATCATCCATTATTGGGAGTCAGGGAATTGCTTATCAGATGCAAAGATGAGGGAGAATGAAAGAATCATCGACAACAACAGGGGTCATCTGTCTCATCGAACCACATATTATCTTTTGTTTTTTCACTTTTATTTTCAAATTCGGCGAACATTCAAACAGGAAAGGAAGGGGGGGAGAGGCTGCATTGCACGGCGTCCATCTATCGATTCTTTTTTACAAACCCTCTCCTCAAAGCATCTTTGTTTTTTGTCAACTCTCTCTTCCTTGAAAGAGCGTATACATACACTTTTACGATACCCCGAGCCAATAATCGCAAAATCTTTCATGCCGAAATCAACGTTTTGGGCGTTTTCTTCTTTCTCGGGATGAGAGCTGACTTTGGGCAATGAAATTTTCATTGATTAGGAAGTTGGCGTTATTCTACTGGGACGAGATTTTGAGTTGGGTTTCGTCTGGGATTTTGTATCATCAATAGCGTTTGCTGCGAGGAGTAAGTTGATGAGGATCAAGCGATGAATGAAGGCTTTCGGATTAGTGCGATAAGTAGAAAGCGTGTTTCTACCATACAACACTTGGAACAATGTACCAAGTGTCTTGTTAGCTACAAGTAACCGTGCTAAGATGTGAAGGATCTCAGTCTCTAGCTAGCGCCTATTCACGTAACGAATACCAGAATCTCTTGGAGCCCGTCCGGCCAGACCAGCCGGCCCAGCCGGAGGAGCCAGCATTAAGCAGTCACAGGAGCCGGTAGTAAGCAGCTACAGGAGCTGGTTGTAAGCAACTACAGGAGCTGGTTGTAAGCAGCCACCGGAGCCAGCATGGAGCAGCCGGAGAAGCCAGGCCAGTAAGCAGCGGGTAGTTACAGCTACAGATATGTAGATGGAGTGGGGTTGGAGCTAAAGCTGCACGCCTCTCTCTTCAGCACCGCCGAAGGGCTGCAAGTATACATGAGGTCACCAACCATCGCCATGGAAGAGTTTCAGGGGTTGTCCGGTTGCTCTGTTTCCGCCTCCGGTCTCCTCCCGTTCTACTTGGGTCCGTAGATGTCGGTTAGCGTTGCGACTACGCTTATCTCGGTTAGGAGAAACAATCCAAAAGGGCTAGTCACGTAGTTCCAATGGCTTTTATATGAATTCTTGCCAAAAGGTTTCAGGGTATAGCAGGAAAATCAGGCTTTGTTTGGCTTGAAAAGGGAAAAGCGGTATATACATTGAAACTACACTAGATAGGGCTTTCCCGTTATCAGATGTTGCGCTAACGAAATATGTCGTAGAGTTCCGTCTCGCTTGTAGCGTCGTCTTACCGAACTTGCCGCTTGTATTCCCCATGTCCGTTTTCCCTGGCGGAACCCAGATTCGGTATAGCCGAAGGCGAAAAATACAACATGGAACCGAACAGGGCCTCCATCTCCGTCTTACTGCATTGCCCACGAGCGCAGTAACCGAAGATACCCACATTCTCACGTAGCCGCAGCGGCATCCACGGACCGGGCCATGCAAGTAAGACATATATGTACCAACCTAGATCTTCGAGACCTTTCGCCACTGCCGCCTGATATTATTATCAGGTATTATTTTGCTTTCTTCTCACTGCTCATTTATGCGCAATTGCAATCCGCGTCTTCCCCCACCTGAAATCATCCATCTTGAGCAGTGTGTACATTTGCGTCATCTGGCCAATAATTGGGCCAACTCGGTAGTAAATCAGTACCCCTACAGCCAATTGCACTCCGTCCTTGAGCGACTGTGCGCACATGAGAATGGTGAGCGTGTCCCAGAACTTGCGGTAGGCTTCAATGAAGACGAGGACGAGGACGGTGCGGGCGTCGAGTTGGGCTGTGAGGGGAATGTTAGAGTGAGTGTTTTTTTTTAAGGGAGGGGGAAAAGGTACATACATTGGTAGCGGGCGAAGAAGAGGGAGGGACCGATGATCCAGGTTAAGACGGAGCCAAGGGCAGCGAGTCGCTCGGTCCAGCCGGTGTACTTGCGGCAGAAGAGGAGACTGTCGCTTGTGAGTGGGCCGAGGGTCCATCGGCGGCGTTGGCTTAGAAAGACGGAGAATTTGGTTGGGGCTGTGGTGTAGGCTTTTGCACCTAGGCACAGACGTGTTTTGACGTCTGGGTTCTCTGATAACACTAGACATATGTGATCTCGATCCTCACTCATCATGGATTGGATGGTTCGGAATAGGCCATCGGTTTCCTTGGGATAGTATCCGAATTTCTTCGTGATGTCGTCGCCACATGTAGAGTCCTCAACTCGTAGTAGCTGGCAGCATCCCGGCAGACACGTCACCCTCTCACTTGTGAGACTTTGGCGTAGACGACGGCGATACTGACCGACCATGTACTCGGCATTCTGGTAAATATAGGCGGGCGAAAGCGGTGACACGTCGGTTGGGTCGGGTCGAATGAAGCCAGTCACGCCAATAATTCTGTCACCTTCTCTCACAGTTTGAATGAGATTGGAGACGCATTTGTCATCGAATCGAGTATCCGCATCGATGCCAACGACGTAGTCAACATTTTGGATTGATAAGCTTTCGAGGAAACCAGAGAGTTCGGTGAAGAGTTCTGGGCCGAGCATTCCCAGTTCCGGATTCGATTTACGTTGGTTGAATTTGTAGAGGAAAGATCGCATGAGAGTGACTCCATCTCGTTTGCCTCGGTTTTCATTTTTGACCAGGCAGACAATCGGCACGCCTCTGAATTCTCCCTTGACGAGCTCGATTTTCATAGAGGCGCCGTCCCATGAAGTGTAGGCGTCAGACATGTGAATGCTGGTGGGACGCTCAATGATATCTTCAATCAGATGGGCTGCAGTCGTCTTGGTCATGCCTTTAGTGCTAACGCGACCATCGCAGACTACAATGATAACTTTCTTGTGATCTTCCACCGACTTTTGTGCAGCCAAGGACTCTAGTGAGACCATCATCTCTTCATATGTCTCATTGTAGCAACAGAGGAGGTATGCAAAGCTTTCTGGTGTTTCGGGCATCTTGGGAAGTGTCGGTCGGAGGTACCGAACAAGGCCAAAGACGAGGATGGAGGTCATCTCAACGAAGTCAACCACGGGTCGTAGCGCAATCAGTGGATAAAGCCACCAGAAATTCCGGATGTAGTTTGAAAATAGGTGCATCAGAGTCAAACTAAATGGTAGTAATTAGCGATCGCCATCTCCCATGATATGCTGGTGCGTGAACGTGTTACTCACTTCAAAGGGATCAGAATAGCATATGCTATATATTTCTGAGTTCTCAGTCGGCGGGTATTAACGCTGGGCAAATGTTCAATTGCGCTACGTAGCGTCTTGCTGGACAGTGGAAACGATCGTTTCCGTATATAATCTGGCATATGATTTAGTTTGACAGCACTTCGAACCACAGTGCTTGCAAAAATTATCGTACCCATTTTGAAGTCGGCCAATTGTACAGACTAGGAGTACGGGCAAGAATAAAAATGGAATAAGCGTCTCCCCAGGTACAGTGTGTGCTTTGAAAAGCAGGAAAGAATTTGTATGTGATGGTCTGGAATTAGTAGACGAGATCTTGCTAGATATACTGCTCAGGTTTCAAGACAAGGGCAAATCGAATACAGGGATGAGAATGGATGTCATGTCACAAGAGTTTTAGAAAAAGTGACCTACCCGGTAGCCTCCTGGGTAGATTCCCACGTGTTGCTTGCCTTCTCCTGCCAGAGAGGGCTATTTCTCCGGCTCCAGATTCCTTGGCATCTTGGTATTTGACTGCAAGACCCGGTATCGTGGAGGTTTCACATTTTCACATCCGTGGCAGCCGATGCATACGTGCAGGAGTTCATCGTCGGGCCGTACGGACAAAGAAGAGTCCTGAAATAGCGTTAGTACTAATATTGACCTTCGGCCCTTTCACATCCTAGACTACAAGGAATATATACATCTGCCTTGTATGGTATGACCCAATAGATCCAGACACTCACAAATAATTCCCCCGATCCAAATATATGTGATATGATCTGATCACCACGATCGCACCATAACCTCGTGTGACGCCGATCTCTCTCCGCTTGAAACAAGCTCTTCCTCATCTAATCACTTCGAATCTTCTAAAACATGATATATATATCGTCCAACTCAAACCACAGTGTGCCGAATCCTACCATTCACTCAATGGCTGAGTCTGACGCACCCAGTACTATCGCAATCATCGGGGTGGGCTATGTGGGAGAACATCTCATGGAAGTTTTCTCTTCAGCCTTCCCCATAGTTGCATATGACATATCTGCTTCCCGAATAGACAACTTGCGACTAAAGTACTCAGAGAAGCACAATGTCAAGTTCTCCACAGACAGTAGAGATTTTCAAACCGCATCACACTTTCTACTCTGTGTGCCGACATCGTTGAGCTTGACCGGCGGAGTCGATTCCTCGCACATTCGCAGTGCAGTGGACATGCTCTACCCCTATGTGAAAGCCAATTCCATCGTGGTGGTAGAGAGTACTGTTGCGGTTGGAATGACTAGGCAACTACTGGGGCCACTGGTTAAGGCTCGTGGCATCTTCGGTGGTATGTCGCCTGAAGTAAGACATCCCACACACTCCAGAAACGAGATGGACTAACTCTGGAACAGAGAATAGACCCAGGCCGCGTAGAACCCCCACCCAAATCGATACCCAAGGTTGTTTCCGGTCTAGACGACGTTGCCCCAGGGTCTTTGGCCGCTATTACAAGATTATATGAAACTGTTTTCGACACTGTCATTCCTGTCAGCAAACCAGAAGTAGCTGAGATGTCAAAGCTCTACGAGAATTGCCAGAGGACTATAGCAATTGCCTACGCGAACGAAATGGCGGATGCCTGTAAGGAACTGGGAATTGATCCTTTCGAAGTCGCCCACACATCCGCGACCAAACCTTTCGGGTACCTACCTATGTATCCCTCACTGGGTATTGGAGGTCACTGCATTCCCGTCAATCCGACATATCTCATGTCGACTTGCAAACTCCCGCTGCTTCAACAGGCGCACGAGCGTATGATGACCCGACCATCACGCATCGCCAGTCACCTCCTAGAGTTGATACTCGAGGAAAGCTATCACAAACACGGCGAGGCACATCGACCCAGAGTGCTCGTCGTGGGGATTGGGTTCAAGGCAGGCCAATCGGATATGTCCCACTCTCCTGGGCTGCAACTCCTGAATTATCTCCGCCAATCTGGCGAAGTCGATCTGATGTTTTGCGATCCATTGGTAAGCCAGGGTTCTCTACCAGGGGTGCCGAAACTCGAGAACAGCTGCTGGGAGCTGGAAGTTCTGAAGACATTTGATGCCATAGTGGTCGCTGTAAAGCAGCCACCTCTGGACTACAAAATCTTGAAATGTTTAAGCGGTGTGCGGGTTGAAGTCTGGCAAAAATGAACAAAAGAAGAGCACGACTGTGGGAGAGGGATGTCCTGGAAGATGCCTGGGGGAGGCTTACGATGGTCCTAGTGAACATGGTCAAAGCTGACCAGGGGTCCGATCATCGCCCCGTAGTGTTTCGATCAAACGCTACCACAACCTTCGCTTACCCGTCTACAAATATTTGAATAAAAGAGAGGATCGATATCATTTCAATGAATCTAGACTACTGCAAATGTTGAAATGCTTTGGGTTCGAGCATTGTGGATTGTGCAATCCTATTGCTTGCTACTGTGTAAGCATCCCAAATACATATACAAACTGTAGCCGAGCAGCATACACAGCACGGACCATGCACGTGGGTTTGACCAGGAGACAGGTCAGTGTGACCATAGGAGCGTGCCGCTATTGTACTTTGGGCCCTTCCCTTATAGATATAGCGCTTAGTCCAAAGAATCTGTATTTCATAGTGCAAAAACCCTTGCATAGTACCTCAGCGCGATAGGTCATGGCTACTGGCAAAGACATAGCAGTAAATTAGTGGAAATATAGTAGTAGAGATATCGCAGTAATATCGCCACCCAAGGCCAAGGCCAGAGCTACTTAGGGCAAGTGTCCTAGGAATATATATTTGATCCATCACTATTGTTTTCTAAAAACGATCTGAACGTGTTCTGGCTATATTGAGCTGGGTGAGGTTAGCGTACTACCTTGTATTGGTTTCACCGAGCCGCTCATGATACCGGACTAAAATCTCATAGTACCAAGTACGCTGATCTGTTTCTTGTGCTGCCACGAGTCTGGCCGTTACTGTAGCCGTTGGTCTGAACCCCAAACACGGCGCAACGGCGCAACTTCGTTCAAATTCGGTCCTTCTTTAACTCTGTCTTGGGTATCCAGTTCGTTACACCAGGCTAAATTCCAAACTCGAGACGTGAGCTGCGAGTTTGCGGGCATCGAGTAGATAGGCAGAAACCAACTACAGTTTGTAGGGTTTCAAGGAAAAGGGACATACAGCAAGATGGTGTGTTTTGCACACATGAAACCAAAAAGATTCGCCGGTTGCACAAAGTGCAGATCCAAAAGATTGCTTTCATTATTAGTAATGCACTGAGCGCATTCAATCAATTCTGTTACTATCCCCTGGAGACTATGTGCCCAGTGATATCTTCATCAATTGAGAGAGTTAACTATGGAAGATCTGGAGCAGATGTTCCAAAACCGGCTTGTAAGATTCGCCACTCGAAAGACGTGCTTTGTGACAACTGCTTTTCCAAGCTAATTTTATTGACGCCTACCTAATAGGGATATCGTGTGACAAACCCAGGTAATGGGAACGGGTACATGTGCCTCTCTGAGTATGGGTTAACATGCGATGGCACTCAATAGTTTCCGGGGTACAATATATTGCTTGTTCTCTAAGTAAAACTAGGAAGCGTTCCTTACGGAAAGGTGTTCTTGGGGTTGCATGAAGAAAAACACATTTGGACTTGGTCACAACAATAGTCCTTTAGAGTGGACTGATAGGTTGCTAGACATCTCAAGGTCAACAACGTCAAGACAGCTTTCTTCATCTTAGCCACTGGCATGTACGCTGAATTGGTATACCGTGTCACTGCTGCGAAGGCTGCAATCATCACAAGAATATACAATGAAGTGCATCAAATCGCCGGGTATACTTGGAGCCACCAATATTCGGACATGATCTCGCATTGGCAACGCAGAGACGAAACGGCACAAGATCGAGATTGCTCTTAACGGTATCATCGGAGGTTTTTCCACGTACATACATGCGAACACCGTTCGGGAAGTGTGGGCCCAAATGTCGGCCCGCATGATAAAGCTAGTGCTAGGGTACCGCGTGGTAATTTCACCCGACCTTCCGGGGGACTGAAGTAGCCAGATCAAAATGTCGCCCAAAATCAATCAAAATCACAGCCTCAATTATCATATAGGCGCTTTCCGTTCTGTTGAAAATTAAGAGTTCTTGTAGAGTAGAGCATTGTTTATCCACGTGAATTAAATATGTAGGAAGTACCTAGTATTACCTTTGTTTTATAGTTGCATCGTTTTTATCCGGCTATTTCAGTTCCCCGAGAGCCGGCAATGACGTACGCTAGAAGGTATCGAGATACGAGCTAAGAGTTCTGTCCAAGACTTCAAATGAAGTCAACACGTGAGGTTGGGAAAGAAAGTAAATGTACTTGAAACACCATTTCTTGGAAAGCATCAAGAAGAAGAACAAGTACCGAGTCAAAGCCTAGCTGAGTCTAGCGCATGATACTCATGAGCGCATAATGCACGACTATACGCCATTCATGACTGATGATGCACGAGAGCATGGATACCACTAGGTATGGTGGGCCAATTTCTAGACGATTCGGAAGGAAACTAGTACCAGGATCCTTTGACATGAGGACCGCTTCGTAAGCCACCTGGTCAAGAGTCATTATAGTGTTTGCGTGTACGCATTGCGTATCCGGATTGGTCGTGTAAATAGTAGCTCTTTGCAGACTAGCGACGCTAAATTCATCAACAAAATTGATTAACCCACATAAGAAGACGACTGGAAAGAGAAGAGTATGGCGTGATGGAGTTCTTTCGGCCTTGTTGATGGAGCAAGAGAAGGTGGCTTGTACGTGTTGGCTATGTCCATGGTTATGTCCATGTGGCAGGGGAATTGACAACAGTCACATTAGCTTGGCGCAAGATGGGGGCTGGCGGAGTTATGCCCGGACCAACAAGTCGACGTTCCCCTAACGCCTTTGACCATCCCAACTGCCACTAGCGCGTGCAGGTGCTTAGTGAGCCAGCCTGCTGATCAAGCACCGCATTACTTTTTTTTCTTCCTGTGCCAACCAGATTGCGTGCTGTCTTGCTTAGCAATATGCATGTGATTTTCACCTCGACTTTCCACTTTGATTCTGCAGTGGATACGTCATGGACGAATCCCCTCCCTCATCTGCTAGTCTATGGCTGCCTTGCCTAGGGTTTTGGTGCGGTGATTAGAATGTTGCATGCGCTTTGTAAGATGCCGCATTACGAAACCTTGGCACAATGGATTTACCAAGCAAGTCCGTAGAGCTTTGTGTGGCACGAAGAAGAGCTGTGTGGAATACAAGATAAATGTAGTCCATCGTCGCTCAATTGTAGTTGCATCAAACCAATACAAACATCATCAGCCAGTTTACCACAAGAACATCCTTCTTCCCAGACTCGCCCTTCGTATTTTACATAAGAGTACCCCAGCCAATCAAAGCCCCAAGTCACTTTCGCAAAATGGTATCGGCCCTCATTCGGGACGCCCCGATTGGGCAGATCCTCAGATACCTTACCAACAACCGCCTACTCCAGTATCCGGAGGAACGCCCAGACTTTGTCATACCCACAGCCTACACCCAGCACACACGCCCCTTGCCAAAGCGTCTAAGCTCAGAATTCTCTCATGACCCACAGATTGAGAAAGAGGGCCCTGCAACTGAAGAAGTGTGTAACGAACCCCCCGTAGAAGCATCAGCGGAAAGGCGAGAGTCAGAGAGCGAAGATGAATCCGCCACCGACTTGGAAAAGGTGCAAACCGCACGAACACAACACACTGCACGAACACAGATTTCCCGTGTAGGAACACGAACAGCCCTGCACAAGTCAACTACGCAAGCCGATCTCGAACAGCAATTCTCATTGGCAACCGTAGAGCGCGGGCCCAGCCGTCCAATCGAGCCCGAGAAACTCGATGATGGTACCATACTGGTAGACTGGTACGACACTGACGACGAGTCCAACCCGCAAAACTGGTCGTTTGGCAAGAAGGCCGTCGTCCTCAGCCTGATTCTCATGTACACCATGGGCGTGTACATGGGCAGTGCAATCTACAGCCCCAGTATACCCGGTGTCATGGCACGATTCGGCGTTCAAATCGGAGCCGCCTCCCTTGGCCTGTCAATGTATGTGTTGGCATATGGTATCGGACCACTCCTGTTCTCGCCATTGAGTGAGATCCCAGTCATCGGTCGAAACCCACCATACATCATCTCCTATGCCATCTTCGTCATTCTCCTCGTCCCAACCGCACTGGTTGACAACTTCGCCGGACTCATCGTTCTCCGCTTCCTCCAAGGCTTCTTCGGAAGTCCCTGTCTTGCTACTGGCGGAGCCACCCTCCAAGACATCTACAGCCTGATCAAGCTCCCCTATGTGCTCTCTCTCTGGGCCTTCGCCGCAACCTGCGGCCCAGCCCTCGGCCCCATCATCAGCGGCTTCAGTGTCGCAGCCGAGAACTGGCGCTGGTCCCTCTGGGAGATGCTCTGGATGAACGGACCCATCTTCCTAGCTCTCTTCTTCTTCCTCCCAGAGACCTCCTCGGCAACCATTCTCCTCCGCCGCGCCCAGCGCCTCCGCCTCCTGACCGGCAACGACAAGCTAAAAAGCCAATCCGAAATCGACCAGGCAAACCTCACACCCCGCGCCATTGCCACCGAAGCTCTCTGGCGCCCCTTTGAACTCATGCTGCTAGACCCCAGCATCGCCTTCACCGCCGTCTACACTGCCATTGTATACGGAATCTTCTACTCCTTCTTCGAAGCCTTCCCCCTCGTCTACAACGAAATGTACCACTTCAACCTTGGCGAGCTGGGCCTGACCTTCCTGTCCGTCACCGTCGGCGTCATCATCAGTATAACATGGTACTGGTGGTACATCTACTACCGCGTCGAGCCCAGCATCCGGCTCCACGGTCTCGGTAGCCCAGAGCGCCGCCTCATCCCCGCCCTGTTCGTTACCTTTCTCGTACCGATTGGTCTCTTCATCTTCGGATGGACGAGTAACCCGGATATCCACTGGGTCGTGTCGTGTATCGGTATCGTCATCACGACCATCGGTATCTTCCTGATTATCCAGTGTATCTTCCTCTACTTGCCGCTTGTGTACCCTCAGTACGCGGCTAGTCTGTTTGCTGGCAACGATTTCCTCAGAAGTGCCCTGGCAACCGCCGCCATTCATTTCTCCTACCCGCTTTTCCACAATTTGGGCGTCGACCGCGGTGTGTCGTTGCTTGCGGGCTTGTCCGCAGGATGTAGTGTTGGTGTCTATGTGTTGTACTTCTTTGGAGCTAAGTTGAGGGCTAAGAGTAGGTTTGCTGCAAAGTAAACCCTATACTGCCATGATGTATATGCAAGAATGTTTTGGATTTTTTTGGTGCATTAAAGTAAGGCGTTTGGGAAAGGATAACGTATAGACGATAACGATAATATGAATACCTCTTAATAATCATGTTGCAGCCCATACCTTCAGTGCCATGCTCAATGTTTTTCGACAAATGCACGGAAAGAAGTAAAATAACAATGTGATCAGAGCGAAAAGACTGACCTTTTTCGAAAAAAATTCTTTGACTGGGTATCGTATTTCGTTAACCATTGAGTCGTATTATCGCATGGCTAGCTTGCGTATTCAGGTGATTTCCCGTCACCCGTTCATCTACTAGGATATACCTGTCTGATGGGCTTCGATTCCCACAGAGCTCACTCTTGACCCCAGGTATCGTCATCACCAACATGTCCCACAATCTCCACACCCTGCTCCTCCTGAAATGCCACTTGTTTATTCTTCCCCCTCTTCTTCTTTCCCTTGCCATTTTCCTTGTTCGCAGCCCCATCACCCAAGGGATTTCCGTCTTCGTCAATACCAGCTAGCTCTCGTTGACGTTTCCTTTCTTGGGCCTCTGCGTGGGCGGCTGCGATTCGTTCCTTAAACTCTGCTTCCTTAGCAGCCATCTGGCGCTTGATCTCATCTGCGTCAGCAAACGACTCTTCTGTCTTGTTTGATTTCTCAAGGAAGACACCCCAGCCACCATTAGTGAGTTCGCTACGACCTTGCAACGCTTCCTTGACGCCTTGAGGGTTCTCGCGCTCTTCACGAGTGAACTTTGTTTTGATGGAGCGCCGGGTAAAGCCTGGAAACATTTGAGATATCATTTGGAAATCTGTGCCGAAAGATCGCAGGCCCTGATAGAAGAGTTCGGTAAGTTCGCTATTCCAACGACGTCCTTGGCCTGGTAGGAGAAACTCGTTGGGGAAACGTTTGTTGTTCTTCATGAAGCTACGGGTCGTTAGGCGAGCAGTGATGTCTTGGTCTTCAGTAACGATCATTGCGTCCAGCTCCCTTTCCGCGTCACCTCCTCGATCAATTGTTCCAGAGTCGGGAACCAGCTCCAAGATACCATCTGCGTTCAGTCGTAGTTGAGGTCTTCGTTCGGCTTGTGCAGCGATTTCTGCACCTGCCTCGGCTAGAGCCCTGTCTGCTGCTTC